GGACTTCCAATACTATGTTGAATAAAAGTGGCAACATGAACATACTTGTCTTGTTCCTGATTTTAGAGGAATCGCTTTCCACTTTTCACCACTAATGGGCTTATTATATATGGTCTTTATTATGTTGAAATACAGTCTCTCTATGTCCACATTTTTTAGAAGTTTTAATCATAAATAGATGTTGTGTTTTGTCAAATGCTTTGAAATAATCATGACTTTTCTTTTCTTATTCTTTCTTATACATTTCTTATTCTAATGCCTTAAAAATCATGGCTTGGGTCCTTAGAAGACTCTCTTGCTTGTCAAAGTAAAAAAAAATAAAGAAAAGAGACATATATAGTTGTAAGAATGTGAAGCCAGCAGATAACTACTTTGGAGTTCGTAAGACTAAGTCAACCATATCTTTCTTGGAGAATGCATTTAAGGGTTAATTAATTTAAGTTTGCAGAGTGCTTGTGAAAGGAATTGTGGGACATGGAAACTAATCAATAAAATATACACTTCATAAACATTTTAAACATCTAGTCCCAATATTCCCCCTACTAAAACAGTGCTAGTTTATTTTTGTATTATTTATTTGCATCAATCAGGCTTAATAAAGTATTTTTATTGTTTTCATATCAATATTTTATCAAGTTTTTTTCAACAAATATAAATTGCATTTGCACTGAAACATTTCTATAGCTCAATATTTTTAAAAATAAAAATGGCAAAAGAAAGAGTTACATAGTGCCAATTTATCAAGGAGAAAATAAAACTCAGATGGCTCAGTCCATTCTCACATAAAGTATGAAATATCAGGAAATGGTTTGTGTTTTATACATGTTTACTTTAGATTAAAATGAAATTTTCACAATGTTCTTTAAAATACAATCCAGTTAAATTTTCAATGTCTTTGTTTTCACATTCCTGGATGGAACTTTTTAAAAACTCACACCGTAGTAATAACCACAAAACCACCTTGCTAAGGAAATGCCACTGAGCTTAGAAATAATATCTTTATAGTTTGTGTGGGACTACAGAAGTCCAGAATCTTCAGCAGGTGATTATACTGATTGAGTTCTCATTTCCTTCCTGTTTTGTCCTCTTTATGGAGGACACATTCTGAATGGCACTTAACTGCTAAGCGAGTAGAATGAGGCAGGCAAAAATCCATTTGAGAAATCACAAATCACAGATTATTTGAGAACACTGGGCCTAGGGAGCTTGAGGGATTTACCTGAAGTCATATAGCTGACTGATGGCGGGTTCAAGCCCCCGGTCTTCTTTGCAATAACTTCTACTTCCTTGATGGATTCTTCCATTCATGGGTAATTCTTAGCCTTCTGCTAAGACTGGGATCAATTTCTCTGAGATAGCCGAGACATTTTACTTAGACATGGCCAAATCCACAGCAACTCACTTCTATATAACACTGATTATATGCCAGATGCTAGGCTAAAACTTTTATACACATTATCTCTTTTACTCTTCACGAGCACTCCGTAGAGAGGGATTCCATTAATGCACCATTTTACAGATGAGAAATTGAAAACCACAGAGGCCAGGTTAACTTGTTGAAGGTCACACATGTGAGGAAATGGTCAAACCAGAAACTGAAATTAAGTCTCTCTGATTTGAAAGCCCATGCACTAAGCCCCTTTACTATACTGCCTCTCCACACAAACAAGAAATAGCCAAACAAAATGAAAATCTACATTATTATTTTAAAACAAGCACACTTTCATGTCTCTTTTTAAAAGACAGTTACATGCAAACAATGGCAATATGAAGTGTTTCTGAAGTATGAGTTTAAATTTGGGGAATGCAAATCTTGAGAACTCAGTACTTTAGTGTCTAGGGATGATCATGGTGGTTTTCCAAACACACACTTTCTGCAAGTAAAATATCAAATGATGTGTAAGACACCTGTGTAAATTATTTTTGCACGAGTATTAGTTACTGTTTGTAAAATCCTATTAAGAAATTGTTGCCAACAACAGCTAGCACTGGGAAGCTGAACCAGTTCTTTGGTCATGTCAGTGATGTTCTTGTGGCCGAGAGGATATTTATTCCCAGAGGTAACTCTTATAAATTGCATTTTGCCCCTTCAGTTGCTACAAGCTTGTGATGGTGAGTGGGAGGAGAGGACAACCTGTAATTCAGGATGGTTTAGAAGCTGGTTGCCTTGGAAACTGGAAAAAACAGCACAATGCCCGCCAAAACCGACTGTCAAAAAGAGAAAGGATTTTCTTTTTTTGATCTGTGTTGCTTTCCAAGTGCATATTTTGGGAATTTTGCCAGTCTGATTAGGGCCATTGGTCTTTGGTGGGCGGTGCAAGCCAGAGTGGGCCAAAGGTTAGTCAGAGAGGATGGGAAATTCTTCAGAGACATTGTACTGATAGAATACTGGGGGGAAGGGGATGATGGTGTAGTTAAAATGAATTTATAAGATGATAAAGTTATCAACAGGTGAATATTTCACACAATGTGACATGCAGGCAATTCTTAATCATAATTTATGCACATTTAAATTTATAGCAGCAAAACTTACTTTTTTAACATAAAAGTTTTATTTGCTGTAATCTACTCTTTGCTACTCTTATGCTACTTACACCGGAAGTTTTGGTTTATACTAGAGTAGTTATTTTCAAGAGTAGCACTTGGAAATTCACAAAAATTTGATGAAAGTAATTTCCTAATACTTTTAAAATATGCATTTTTTTATTTTTAAATGATCACACATGTACACATACACATTTTATAGGTTTGTATATATGTGTGCACATATATTTAAGTAAATCACAGGGAATTGCTGATTTTAGACTATATTAGGTCTATAAAAATGGCAATTTTACATATTCCAACTTATAAATAAATAGCAGAGATCACAGAATACATGTTTTTCTTCTTCTTTGCTGGGGTCCCCCTTCCCTCTTTTCTCATCTCCACCTCACCCTCTTCTGTATCAGTCCTTCCCTACACTTCCCATATATCCTCACTCTCTTCTTGCCTCACAGGCAATTCACATTAACAACCTAGTATGTATCTCTGTGCTCACAGAATCAAGAACAGATGTAAATGTGTCTGCGCATCTATATATGTGTTAGTGACAAAACTCACCATGCAGATCTCAAACTTCCAGATTGTTTTTTTCCTGTTAATAGTTATAGCTATATATCCTCTTTCCTGCATCTGAATATTGCTTATCTTCTCTTCCTTGCACTTATCCTTAATGGATTTCAGCCTAATTCCCTTTTTGACATTCATTCACTTGAATTCTATTTCTCTCCTATGCACTAGAAACAATTCACAAATGATTCAAGCTGCAAAGTGTTGCAACATGTCACACAGATGGATTAGTAATTCTTCTCTGGTTTCCTACTTTGCATCCACAGAATAACCTATTATTTTGCAAAGTTAAGAGTAAGGATATATGAGAAGGAAATGCTTTGGATTATTCTAGTAACTCTAGACCCAGAATTTCTCCTGTAAGGAAAAACGGCCTCCCAGAACCATTTCTCTGATTTCCATCAGTAACAACCAAGTTAACGATCGGTTAGGCAATGGAGTCATATGGAAAGACCTTAGAACTTACGTTATGGGTGAGGCTGTTTGAAATCTTAAACATGAGGTACAGCCTCACTACAGATGTCACAGGACACCTGATGCTCTCACTGTTAGCCAAAGGTGACTTCTCCTCTCACTGCTACTGAAACTGCCTTTGAATCCCATTTTCTTCTTCAGAGGCAATATCTCTCCTATTAGGCCATTGTGGCAGACTTTGGCTCAGTACTATGGGCAGATTCCCAAGATGCTGGGCAACTGGGCTATTCCAGGACTACACCACTCTCAGTTTTTTCACTAGGAAGTGAATGTTGACAGAGGGAGAAGGAAATGAGTACTCAGTAGTTGGAGATTTATGGCTTCTTCTCCAGTCTGTACTCCCCAATCCCCCATGTGCATCTGTACAGGTCTTGGATGCTCTTTGGCCTCCCCACAAATGCCCACCACAAAGAGCTGCTGCCCTCGGGCTATAGTCCCTTCTCTTATTTGGAAAGGAAAATGCTTTATAATGAAGTAAAATGTGAATTCCTAGGAGTTTGGAGGTTGAATGTCCCTTGGGATCAACTCAGAAGATGCCATTCCTGAATTGTGATTTGTTTTCCTGATAGGGTTTCCTTGGGTGAGTCTTTTATCCTCAGCAGAGGATACCCTAGCCAGGGAGAAGACAGATCATTCCAGTTCTTGTAGGTATGACCGAGGGCTGTAATTTATTTAGAAGCTGAGTCTGCCCTTTTCCTGACTGTGAAAAGGGCTTCAAAGCTGCCACACCAGGAACTGTTTCAGATTACAGACTTCAGCAACTAATGACCCATGTCCTCCCTTCAGTAGTGAAATCCCAAAATGGCCCTGGGAGAGGAGAAAGTAAATCTTGACAGTACTTAGAGGTCATCTTAGAACTAACTCTCAGGAGAAATGTTTTTAGGTTGAGAGAGAGATTCCCCCCTCCCAAAAAAAAGGAAAGGAAAAGAAAGGGAAATCATGAGACTAGTGCCCAGAAGGGTGTCTGCAGCTCACCCAGGTGTGTTCTGAAGACCAAACATCTACATCAGCAATTAGCAGGAAACCCTTGAGTCCTCCCCCTCTCAGGAAACAGTGGAATCAGATAGCATCGGAAGCACACACACACACACACACACACAGTGTCTCTCTCTCTCTCTCTCTCTCTCTCTCTCGCTTCACTTGATCCTTCCTGCAGGTGTCTGTAGGAAAGGAGTTTCTGTGGGTGAGAGAATGAGACCAGGTGATTGTCCGAGGAGGCTGTAATTTTAGCAGACCTACCAAGAACCTTGATGTAGGAGGCTTGTTATTCTAAATCACAGAAGCCTTTTTATTTTTTTCTTTGGAAAGTATGTGAATGATTATAATGCTGCTTTGCTTCCCAAACTGAGCAGTGAGGTAAACAGCAGAAGTCACAACAACCACAAACAACAGCAGAAGCTCTCATCCTGACCACCATGGAGTTTCTTGAAAGAACTTACCTTGTGAATGACAGAACCACCAAGATGTATGCCTTCACCCTAGACAGGTAACAGATATCTGTTTCTGCTTCACAACTTTCTGTGTCTTGACTATTCAATAAATCCTTAGATCCTACTTCTTCAAAATTGGAAACTTTTGCTGTGCAACTCAGGGCCATTTTGTAAAATCTGATAAGCTGTTGACTGACCTGTATAATTCATATCCTGAAAAATACAGGATTTGATTCCTTAAATATCCTAAGGGCACAAAGGATACATTTTATTAATATATTTTTCATCTGTAGTTTATCTTCCAGAAAACAGGCATATATGATCTAATCTTTTTACCTTTCTTTTCCTCAATTATTCCCCTTTTTAAAGTTCTAAGTACATTTTACTAAATTATATTTAGAAAAAAATTAAGGCTTTTCAACCTTGTGACAGAATTGGGGTTACATTGATCTTTAAAACAACTGCTGTTTTCTTAATCATAAAATACCATAGTCAAATGTACACAACTATAATGAATATAGCTGAGTTTAATGTGCTACATATTTCTAGTCCGTTTACTATCTCCACAGTACCACATGCACAGTACCACATTCATTCATCTTTCCCTTATTGAACTACTATTGATTGAACACATTCGGATATATAACAGGAAGAAAACATGCCTACTTTTAGATCTCTGTCCTCTTGAAACTTTGAGTCTAATGTGGAATGCACACAGAAAATAGGCAATTACAAAATAGCATAGAAGTGTCATTCTGGAGGTGTTTAATGAGAAGATCTCAAAGGAACTTAGGCCTTAGCTAGACTTTAGGGGTCAGAGAAAGCATTTCAGAAGTGATAGAGTAAGAAGTGAAACATGAAAAGGAGTTAGAGCAAGGTTAGGAAAATTCCATAGAAAATACAGGTGGGGGACATTTTCTAGACAGAGATAATTGCCTGGTAAAAACAGAGACATATAAGAATAAGAGTTTGGTATGTTTGGGGAATTCAGTCTGAATAAGGAGCAAAGAGAAACATGCTTAGTATGTACAGATGAATGAATGGAAATCTGAAATGATTTCATGTAGGAGCAGAGCTTAAGAGAACACATACCCATTAATAGTATGTGTAATGTTTGTTTCATGGAACCAAATTCATATTCTAAAGAGTAGCAACATTGTGTTTGATAGCATCAAATGTTTGAACAACTGTAAAGGGACATTTTTAATAGGATCTTTATAATTTTGCTTAAAAAATATATGATAGAATCTAGCACATCTATTATCTCACATTATAACAATTATTTTTCTTAGAAAATAATATTAGATGTGATTTATTAAGACCATAAATAACAAAACCTCATGTTAGGTCAGGCAGAAATTTAAGACAAAGAATTGTTTTTACTATAGACACTATTAATAGAGCATCTCTACATTATTAAAATAACACTATTTCCCTTCTCATTAAAATAGACCATTAACTCTGTTATACAAATAAAGCTAACCATATAGAGTTACAGGTCTCTTTCACTTCCTAAATGGGTATGGTTTTCAGGATATGGTGATTATAGAAACTATCAAACTCATTTTTATTTTCTTTTCATATAAAAACAGTTAAATCTTGGAGAGATGATTTATGCTGATCCCTCATTTCACCAGTTAGGAACCTGAATGCCAAAGAGAAGTGCCTTTCTTAAGGTCACCTGTCTGATTATGGCAGAGTTGGGATCTGAACCCATGCCTCCTGTTCGTGAATTTAGTGCCTGCTTCCTCCTCTTCCACATCTCCTGCACACACACTTTCACCTTGTGGCCTCCTGAATCCTTAATCTATTTCTCCCCGAGGTCACATGGACCTTGATTTCCTCACTTATTTGTTTCCTTTTATCATCTTCTCTGATCTCCTTTCTCATGGGTTTTCTTCTGTCTCTATTTCCCAGACAACTTTGCCCTCTGGTAGTCCTTCTCTTTTCTCCTTCCTTCTCTCTTTCTACTTATAATCAGCTTTCAGTTTAAATTGTTACTCGCTATTGAGAAACTTAACCTGAAGGAATCTTTATTCTCTAATTCCACGAAAGGAGTATTTCATTTATCTACTGCTGGGCTACAAACTAGTCTCAGAATGTAGTAGCTTAAACAGCAATCATTTTATTATTCACAATTCTTGGGTCAGTGAGGTTTGTTCATGGGGCTGCATTCTGCTGGTGTCCGCGCTGTGCCAAAAGTTCCAAGATGGCTTTACTCACATGTCTGGGGGCTTTGTACCAGCTTTTGGTTAGTCTTCATTCTTCTTCCCATGACCTCTAATATTTCCCCCTTAAAGGAGCCTGCTATGGACTGAGTATTTGTGTCCCCCCCTCCCAAATTCATATTTGGAAGCCCAAACTCTTATGTGACTGTGCTGGAGATAGGACCTTTAAAAAAGGTGATTAAGGTTAAATGAAGTCAACAGGATGGAGCTCTGATATGGTAGAACTGGTGTCCCCATAGAAGAGGAAGAGACACCAGAGATCTCTCTCCACCGTGTGAGGATATAGAAGAGCAGCCATCTATAGACCAGGAAGAGAGTTTTGCCAGAAACTGAATTTTCCAGCACCTTAATCATGAACATTCAGCCTCCAGAACCATGAGAAAATAAATTTCTGTTGTTTAAGTTACCCAGTCTGTGATATTTTGTTATAGCAGCTTGAGCAGACTAAAACAAGGTCCAGCTTTAATTGGATCAGATTGTGGAGCAATTTATGCCTTAGGGCATTGTTGTAGACAGTAGAGTAATCAATAAGTGATTAAATAGGTCAATAGTTGGATGTGATACCCATTTAGGCAGAACAGCCAGAAGCCTAACAGTGAGACCATGGAAAGAGACAATCAAAGCAAACATGATTAAGCATCCCTGGGCTGGGGTGGAGGAGGTAAAGATGATTCTGTGTATGCTAAGGCTTCACCCTCTTGGGAATAATAACAGAAGTTGCACATGTAGGGGACATCAGAGGAAAGAGATTCCACTTAATTAGACAAGCCATTCCCAAACAAATAATAGAGCAAACAAGTAAACGTCAGCAACAACAGGCCCATAGGGGATCAGTATTCAGAACTGTTACCATGTATTATCTAAAACATCCAATTTTAGGCTAAATATAAGACCTGCAAAGAAACAGCAAAAAATAACCCATACATAGTAAAAAGAGCAGGTAATAGAAACTGCCTTTAAAAGAGCCCAGGTGTTGGACTTAGCATTCAGAGATTTCAGAGTAGTCATTATAAATATGATTAAAGACTTAAATGAAATCATGTTTAAAAAAATTAAAGAGAGGTATGATGGCAGTGTCTCATCAAATAATGTCAGTAAAGAGATAGAAATTATATAAAAAAGAGATAAATAGAAATTCTGAAGTTGAAAGTACATTAAGTAGAATTAAAAAATTTGTTAAAGGGGCCCAGCAGTAGATATGAACTGACAGAAGAATCAGTGAACTTGAAGATAGATCAACAGATATGCAACATAAAGAACACAGGGGAAAAAATGGGGCAAAAGTAACAGAACCTCAAAGAAGTGTGGCACATCATTAAATGTCCTAACACACACATAATGGGAGTACCAGAAGGAGAGGAGAAAAAAGAGGAGAGAAATATTCAAAGAAATAATGGTTAGAATTTTCCAAAATTTGGTGACAATATTAATCTACACATCTAGAGTGGGTCAACAGACTCTAAGAAGAATCAAGGAAAACAGATCTACCTCTCTGACATATCATAGTGAAAATACTGAAAGCAAAACACACAGAAAAAAATCTTGAAAGCATCAAGAGAGAAAAAGATTCATCATGTTCAAGAGCATCTCAGTAAGATTACAATCTGACTTCTAGCAGAATAAAAGGACCTAGAAGGCAGTGGAATGACATATTCAAAGAGCTAAAAGAAAAAAAAAGGACTGTCAACCAATCATCTTATATCCAGCAGAACTATCTTCTAAAATGAAGGTGAAATGAAGATATTTCCAGGTGAGCAAAAACTGAGAAAATTTTGCTAGCAGACTCACTTTTCAAGAACTAGCAAAGGAAAATTTTCAGGCTGAAAATAAATGACACCAGACATTAACTTGAATCAAGACACAAAAACCAAACAGCATCAGTAAAGGTGAAGGTAATTTAAAAAGACAGCATATTTACTCTCCTTTCTTCTCTTAACTGATTTAAAGATAAATTGCATACATAACATTAGATGAAATGTTAGTTATAGGAAGATACAAACTACCAAACTAACTCAAGAGAAAACAAAAAATCTGAGTGGATCTATAATAATAGTACTAAGGAAACTTCACGCAAAGAAAATCCCAAACCCAGATGTCTTCACTGGTGGTTTTTACCAAATATATAAAGTAGAATTAATACCAATTCTTCACAAACTTTTCCAAAAAATAAAAAGGAATGAACATTTTTCAACTCATCCTATATTTTAATATTCCACTGATAGCCAAATAAGAAGATATCACAAGAAAATAAAACTATAAGTCAATATGCCTTATATATACAGATTCAAAAATCCCTCCACCCAACACTAACAAACTGAACACAGCAAGACAAAAAAAATTATGAACTATGGTGAAGTCAGATTTATCCCAGTAATGCATACTTGACTTAACATTTGAAATACAATCAAAGGAATACACCACATTAATAAAATAAAGGACAAAACCCACCATATGATTATCTCATTAGATGCAGAAAAAGCATTCAACAAAACAACACCATTATGGTGACATTCACCAAACAAGAAATAGAAGGGAACTTTTTCAACCTGATAAAAATTTTCTATGGAAAACATGAAGCTAACATTAATCTTAGCGGTAAAGGCCTGAAAGCTTTCCCTTAACATCAGGAACAAGACAAGGATGCCCATTGTCACCATTTCAACATAGCAGAGCCCTACTGGGGCTCGATCCCAGGACCATGAGATCATGACCTGAGCAGAAACCAAGAGGCCAACACCAAGAGTCCCATGCTTAACTGACTGAGCCACCCAGGTGCCCCTAGCGTTAAGTTATTTCACAGTACAACTTATTTTATTGTTTCTGAAGAACAATGATAATCATGTAATGTGAAAATGGTAGACTAACTTAAAAATTCACATTTTTTTGTGTGTATTTATCTTGTTCCAAACACACTCTGAAGTGTTCATATGAATTAGACAAAATCTCAAAGCTACCCTGTGAGAGAGGTGTTATCATTATCCCCATTTTGCAGGTGAGGAAATTGAGGCACAGAGAGGTTAACTTGTTTTCTTACAGTCATACAATTACTGAGTGGTAAAGCTGGGATTTGACTTAGCAATGGGATGTCAGAGCCCAAATTCTCAGCTTCCTCCCTGTACTGTCATCTACTCAGCCCATTTCGGAAACTGGCCTGATCTTCACCTAGCTGTTGTAACCAGAAATCCACGAGGAATCCTCGGGTCCCACCCTTCCCTCTTCCCCTCTAAATAATGCTATTGGTTAGTAAATCCCATTAATTCTACCTCCCAAACATCCCTCAAATATGGCTACTTCTTCCCCTTTTCCTTGTCACTGCACTGGTCCAAATTGCCAGCATCTCTGCTTCAGCCACCTCCTAAATGGTCTCCATGTTTTGCCTCTTTATGCTCAAGCCTTCCAAGCATCACCTGAAGTGAGCATTTTAGAAATGTGAACCACGTTATGCTACTTCCCTGCTTAAAACTTTCCAACTTCCTTCTTTCAGACTTTGAAGAAAAGGAAACCCTTTTTAATGGTTCACAGAGTTCTGCATGATCTAACTTCTGCCTACTTCTCTGATGTCATCCAATATCACTTTCTTCATCCCACAGTGGCCACCTACGTAGTTCCCTTTCCATCAAGGCAAGCTTTTGACAGGATAAGCTCTTTCTTGTCTTTGTGCCTTTGCACCAGCAATACCCTCCACTTGTGATGTTTCTCTTTCATGTAGGTCTACTCCCATTATCCTTTAACTCACTGTAGAGATACCTCTCCAGAGGTGCCTCCCATTACCACTCTGTTTGAAGTAGTCCCACCTTCACTCCCTGATCACTGACGATCACACTACACAGCCTCTGTGACTATCGGCTGGCTTACTATTTGTCTCCCTCTGCTAATATATAAGCTTCTGAGGTCAGGAACTTAGTCATAAAGACCATGGATCAATTAGCATCTCTGAAAGTGTAGGCACATTGCAGGGATGCAGTACAAATTTGAATGAATGAATACATGAGGTATATTGGATATGCATAGTGGGACCTAAGCTTTCATCTCCTCTTCTCATAGGAATAGTGATTTGAGGTTCTTGAGAGAAGTGACGTGAAAGCGCAAAATAGAAGTGATTTTATGTAGTCAACATATGAAATAAGAGGGTGAATGTTTTACCAGCTCTACTTTAGAGACACAGAAACAAAGGGGTTTAACTTCTACCATCAAACAAAAATAAAATACAAAAGAAAAAAAAAACTTCTCCAAGATCACAAAACAAAGCTCCATTCTCTAATTAGTATTTTAAGAAATAAACTCAAAGTTGTAGGCTATTGCAGGAAAATTTTTGAATATTGCCCTATTTCTCCTGTTATTCCCCCTTTTTTTCTTTGATGCTACAGTAACTTCCTCTGCTCTGGCTTATTATTCCTGTTCTTCAGAACTTCAACCATCTTTGAATTCATGGGAATCTATGGAGATTTATTCATAATTCATTTTTTGATGCATCATAGCATTTGCTTTTTAGAACCTTCTTAACATTCTCAGGATTCACATCATTTTTTAGATTAAGAGCCTATTCTGCATCTATAGGTACCCAGACCACTTTGCTCTAATGAGGTAATGAGAAATGTACTTTAATTTTGTTTTTTAAGTTTTGGGGGGATTACAGACACTTTTAGGAGCCCAGTGAAGACTGTGGGTTCTTGCATCCCTCCATAACACACACACAAACACATATATGAACACATTGCATGCAATTTCAATGGAGCCTCTGAAGCCCACTTTGGATCTCCTGCTTAGTATTTCAAGGAGTAATCTCAGCTCAAAGTATATCCATATTGGTTAATCTTAGAGTCTAGGACAATAAAGCAGTATTTAAAGGTAAAAATTGGCCAGGTTTCTTGCACTTTTCTTCTTGTGGCATTGCCCTGGAGGCTGTGCCCTTAGTAGGATTCCTGCCTTTGACTTCTGCACTGCTCCAGAATAAGTTCTTTCTCCTGGTCACTTACCACCTGGTTTTCTTTGGCCACAAGAGTCATGAAAAGTATAAAATAAAGCAAAGTTTCATATGACTTCAGCAAATCAGTGGCCATATGAACAGTGCCAGAATGATCGGTGACCCTGTCTTGCTCATGTTGCCTTCTCAGCACAAAGGAAGAGGAAACCTCCATCATGCTATATTTTTAGTTCTCAGCCTCCTCTGAGTTGATGGCCATTGGTGATCCACAGTGCTACATGATATATTTTTTATTATCAGGGTACGTCACAAAGGCAAAAATGTATAGATACAAATATTCTATGTGCTTATTGCCAAATGGTTCCCATTCCAGCCAAGGAGATTATTTAGAACTGTTGGAACTGTTCAAAATCCTGAGTGTTATTAATATCATCAGTACAAACATTCCAAAGTCAATTTGGCGATATATACCAAAATCCTTAAAAATGTAGATACCTCTTGACCAGACAATTCCCCTTTTAGGGTTACATGTTAAGAAGATAATAATATCCCGAGTAAAGATTAACTATAAAGATCAACAGCCCCATTTATATGAGCAAATAATTGGAAAAGAATGAATTGTTTAATAATAGGAAATCAGTTCATTATTTATGACATATTTATATTAAATACAGTGCTCTCTATATGTTAAAATAATAGTGTAGAGTATTTAATAAATTGAGAAAATGTCAACAATACATATAGCTAAGAATCAGGTTCCGAAGCTGTATCTTTGGTAGGATCCTATGGTGACACTGTCATTTCATCCATAAGCCATTCCAGCCCTTCTCCACAGAGTTGCAGCCATATGATTTGGGTAGCATCTACCCCAGTCTCAGCTCCAGGAGTCAGCGTGGTAGGGTTTAGCCATTCTGATTACAACAAGGTCTAAGCCAATTAGCCCATCCATATTCCTCTGGCTATAAAGTTTGGTTCTCATTTGGCCAAATCAGCATGCAACTCAGGACCCTTGTTTAGGAGTTGAGAATGGACACTCTCTCTGCCTGTATAAGAAAAGGCAGGTGCACAACTGTGATTACCTTGGGCAACCATTCCACTACCATGAGGAAAACCAGCCTGCGGTTAAAGTGTACTTGAGAATGCAGAGCGATGCCTCTGGTGTCTTCCTAAATCAGGTTAAAGCCTGATACATCTAGATGCTTTCAGTTGCAGAACCAATAATTCCCATTTAATAGCATGAGCTTTGTTTTCAGTACTTGTAACCAAAAACACCCTAATTAATTATGGACTCTGATTATGTAAAGAAAGTGTGTTTATATACTACAAAGCTAAACGACAAAATATCAGTAACAGCTGTCTTTTGGAGGTAAGGTTACCAGTGATTTTTCCCTTTTCTTTGTGCTTTTCTGTAATTCTAGATTTTTTGTAATGAATATATACTTTAGTTTATTCAGGAAAAACCCAAATATAATGATAAGTAGGTCATAATAATTACCATCATCTAAACCAAAACCTTCAGACCTTTAATTCCAGATGGGGATGAGACAAATGAACTAGCTCTTCATTGGAGGTGAATTTATTTTTCTTCTTATACCCTTCAAAGTCATGAATGCTAAGTTCCTAATTCTAAGAATCTTACTAATGTCTTCTAATAAGTTTATTAAAAAAATGAAAGTCTGATCAGCTCAAGATCCATGGACATTGATATTGGCATCAGTAGAGATTGGTTTCAGGTGTACCGAAGTTTAGGTAGGGAGGTGGGGTGGAGCCCAGTGGAAAAAACACTAGGTTTAGAATCCCAGTTCCGCTGTTTCCTGGTTATTTGGCTTCAGGCAATTACTTAACCTCTCTGAACCTTGATTACTTCAGCTAAGAAACTATGGCATTGGACTGAATGTTATCTACAATCTTTTCATCTATGAAATTCTAGAGCCGTATACATGGCTCTAAAGAATGCTCTATATTTGAGAGGAACTGATAGGTACTGCCTGCTTCAGGAAGTGTAAGTAAGTTTGACTCCCAATACAGCTTTGATAGATTGAGACAGATTGTCTGCAAAGCTGTGTTAAGGTTTCTGAGAGTCCACATGGACTCAGCAGGAGAAAGTGCTATGATCTATTAACAGTGTTGCTGTGGAGAAGAAAGGAAGAGTTTTGGCATTTAATATTGAGTATTTGAATCATCAAGCTGACTCCTACGCACATATCCAACATTGCCCTGCCTCCCCCCCTTTAAATTTGTAACACAGGGTCCAAAATCTTTTCAAAGTGCAGTAATTTGGAAGGAAATGCATCAAAGTGTATCTGCTTCCCTTCTTCTGTTCCTTTGACATCTCTTAATCACTGCTGGTAGAGACTGAATAAGACTTTGACTGAATAAAAGCAAAACCTTTAGTAGTTGAGAATTCAGAAGGAAATTTCTTACTTGTTCCTTACACTTGATATTTCTTGTGGAAGGAGCTGTGAACAGCAACTTCCCAGCTAGTTAGCAGATGTCCTAATATCAGTTCTGAGAATGGGCAGGGCTGTCAGTGAGGTATTTGCAACCATGTTCACTTCTTGCTTCTGTCAAACTCATCCAGTGTGGAACTCCAGCAGAAATCCTTGAATAAAGATCAATGTCCTGGAGAGAAGCCAGAGGAGCTGGAGTCAGGAGCCATCTATCACTGCCACAACAACTTCAAGGCCACAGAGAACAGAGCAAACGAGCAAGTCTATGCCAAGTGGAAACTCTGTGCTGCTTCGGGAATATGCTTCGTTTTCATGATTGCAGAGGTTGTGGGTGAGTATTACTTAAAGAGACTTCTCTGATTAAACAAGCAAACAAAACCCCACATCACTGCAGGAGGGTTATAGACGTTCTCCTTTGAAAGAAAGATTTCATATTTTTTTGTAAGTACTGAGTAACAATATGCTCATTATAGATAAGGTGGAAAATATTAGGAAACAAAATAAAATTCATCACCATCCCACATTTGAGTAATAACCTCTAATAACATTGTGGAGTATTTTTGTACAATATATTTTTCTATTCATAACTCAGTTTTTTTTAACATAACTGAGAGCATACTGAATGCTTTTGACCATGCCATCAAATACGCTTCAAAAACATTTTTATGCCTGAATAATATTCTATAATATGCTCCACTGTGATTTACATAACCATCTCCCTATTGTTGGAAATTTAGGGAGTTGTTTTTTTTTTTCCTGCTATGGACAATGCTGCAGTGAAAACTCATGAAAAAAAGTCTCCCTGCCTCTCTGGTTAATCCCTTGAAAGAGATTCCTAACAGTGGGAAAATTGATTGAAGGACATAAATATTTTTATTACTTCTTGATGCATATTGCCAAACTGCGATCCAGAAAGCCTAAAACAATTCATATGTCTGCCTGCTGTATGTAAGAATCATTCTCCAAATCTTTACCAGAACTTATTTTAATCTTTTAAAAATCTTTGTTAATGTATAGGTTAATATGCTTTATTTTATTATTTATTTTTTGTTACTGTTAGAATATTTTTGCATGCTTATTAGTTATCTATATTTCCCTTTGTTGATGCATTTCCTGCTTGCCTCTTAATGTCTCCTGCTTATTTGTTTTTTAGATAATTTATAATGTTCTATATTGATCTCTGGGAGCTCTTTATATAGTTAGGATACTGAACTTTTTATATTTGTTATAAGTACTTACTCAGTTTATTGTTTACTTTTTAATTTTTGGTTTGATGTAGAAAAGTTTTAAATTTTATATATGTAATTGTACCAAACATTCCATTTTGAGCTAACTTCTTTTATTGCTCTTTCAATATTTTAGTGCTTTGGTCCCTATCTACTGAGAAGATAAATATCATTTTGTTGTTCAATTTTTTGCATTTAATTTTAAATCAGTGTGGGATTAGATATGCTCTAAGGACTAAAAATTCTTTCTCTAAATAACTAACAGTTTTCAGCATTATTTCTGGAATAATTAATTATTCCTTCCATTGATTTTTGATGTTTCTTTAATCATTTACCAATATTTTATAAAAGAATAAGGGTTTGGTTCTAAGGTGTTGCATTGATCTGTATTGTTCTTCTCTGTTACTAGTAACATATTAACATAGATTTGTATGTTACAATATCTGTTGTTCTTTCCTCATTATTCCTTGTTTAACAGAAAAAAGGAAAAATGCATTTATTTCTGTTTATTATTCTAATACATGAGAACCATTGTGTTCAGTTCTCTCCAAAATCAGATTATGATTTTACTGGTATGTAAGTTAATTTGGAAACACAAATCTTTTTAAAATACTGTTTTCTCCTCTAGGAATATGGTATGTTTCTCCATTTATCCAAATACTCTACATCTCTCATTTGTTTTGTGATTTTAGTTATTTGTTTTAATACAGGGGCAGACTATTTCTTGCCAGGGTTATTTAGATGTGTTTGGTTTATTCTTTCCAGAGGTGAGTGGGGTCTTCCTTTTTGCACGTCCTCTTTTCTAGGTGGTTACTTTTGGTATTCTGGAATGTTTTCCATTTTGCATATTCATTTTATACTGATCAGTGTATTTGCATTATTTTCTTTCTAAATGTATCTCAATCCACCATTTTCTTTGTTCCTCTCTCATCCATCCTCCCCCCTCCTAGGAGATAACACTCTCTTGTGCAAAAAGCATATTTCCCTTCTTTTTCAGTAATTGTATCTCTTCTGTATGTTTCATATTTTTATCATGTTAAATAACACTTTATGCTAAATCAAGTCTTCTGTTGGACTATTTAACTGTTAAGTGAAATGTTTCCTGAGAGGTTAAGTATTTTCATTCTATGAATTAAGTGGGTTTTTTCCCTAGTTCTTAAATGATTAACAAATAATTAAGGATACTGTTGATTTTTATCAAGTATATTTTCCTTTAAACATACTCGTTAAAATTTTTTTGACACATTGTTGATGTGTTTCATATTCAGAGATTTCTAAATATAATAAAATCTTTGCATTTCTGGCATTATGGTAATAATAACTGATATCTACTTAATGCTTATTATGTGCCAGGAACTGTGATGAGTGCTTGTCATTATGTTACCTTACTTAATCCTGTCCAAATCCCTGAGAGGTAGGTCTTCTTATAATTAGTTGCACTACATAGATGAGGAACCTGAAATGCAAAAAGTACTCTATTTGAGTACTTGTAAGTGGGCAGGCAGTCTGAATTCAGGGGCTCGTGTTCCTAAGCTGTGCCTCTCAAATTCACTGTGGTGGACCATTCTTTCAGTGCACTGCTCAATCTGGGTCACTCATATTTTCATTAGGATTTTTTATCTTTATTGATAATTGAACTTGATAGTTTCTGTTTGGAGCTATTTTCCTAAGTTTTTGAATTAGAGTTATGCATATTAAAATGAAAAGTTTAGTCTTAATGATACCTCTTTTTTAATTAAAAAAATGGAAACGATTCATATAACTCTGTAATTATATCTTCCTTTTTTAAAAGAAATCCCTGGCAAATTGTCTAGCTTTGGAGACATTCTTGGAAACAATTTTAAAAATATATTTATTAGCTTCTTCGTCATTTTTTGATGTACTCAAAATTTCTACTTCTCTAGTAAATTTTGGACATTTATGTTTTTCCAAAGTCAGCCATCTCATTGAAATTTTCCAATTTATTTTCATACATTGGAACATGACAGTTTCATATTAATATTCTCTTCTTTATTCTAGCTACTTTCTCATTTTAATATTGTTTATATACTTTCTTTTCCTTGATTTAACTTGGTAGGTGTCTAGTGTGTATATATATACATATTGAATATATTATTATCTAAATTTTTCCTCTGTTTTTAATTCACAGTTTTAGCTTTGAAAATATTTGTTGCTTCCTCCATCTTTCTTCAGGGTTGTAATCTTATTGCATATTTTAATATCTTGAGTTATATCCTTCTCTGGTTATTTTTATCCTTTCTTTTTATTAACAATAAAATTATGTTTAACTATGAACTTAGTCTAAAAGTTTTGATATGCAATGTATCTTATTTATTATTTCTACCCCCCAAAATAAAAAAAAAAGAACACTAGGAACTACCTGGCATACAGTATCATAAGCTACTATTACTCCATTACCACAATTACCTGTTACACTCTTACCAATATTTTGGCTTCATTTTTTGTTACCCAAAAGGTGGACTAAATTAATAATAATCCAAGACTGGAAGAAAACAGAACCTGCTATGTTTTTGTCTTTGTTTTGTTTTTTGGGTTTTTTTGCTTTGTTTTGTTTTGGCTTGGTTTGGTTTTGCACTATCAAAGCTAACAATCGGAATTAATTGGTTTCTTAAACCTCTGGAGTCTTATAGCCTATATATCCACACTCAGACTTTTATACCTTTTGAAAACTGGAAAAGAACTTAGACTCATCCAGTCCAAAAAAAATCCAGGGTTGACAAATAATTTTCCAGGCAAAGATTATACAAATAATTGATACCATCCCAGGGTAAGTCTTTTGAAGAAACCGACTTAATGGCTTGATGAAGTTGCAAGGAATTTACTTTGAGTAGTTCCAGTTTGAAAATCCACTGACATTTATGCCAGAGGTATATGTCTTTCTATTAGTTAAATTCATAAGATCGTGGACAGTATTCTATTGCTCATGTAAGAGATGGATAAAATGGAAAATTTAAAAAACAGAACCTATTCAAAATGTGGCTTAAAAAGGTGATGTTCTGGAAATTCATAGCTCTCCAGATAAAGTCCTAGCAGCACTGCATGTAAACACAGCTCAGCAAGACGTATAAACTGGCTTGTTTTCTCTACTACTTTCTTCCTCTGCTTTCCCCAGAATCCATGTAGGTGCTGAGAACAGAGGGCATCTTCTCCCCAGTTGATGTCTAATCAACAGTCTGAAATGAGATGGTCTCCCATTCATAAAACTCACTTTTCTCCCTGTACCTTTCCTATGCCCTGTCATGTTGCTTCAAAATAACTTATATTTTTAGGGGAGGGGGGATGAAAAACTATTCACTTGGATTGAGCCAATCAATCTCCCTCTTCTCTCTCATTCTTAATCATTAATTAGTCTAGAAGTTCTAATCTGGCTTCAGTTTAGAGCCAGAAGAAAGTGATGTTGTCAGTACAGGAATTAAATGGATACTGACAGACTCATTTTGAATTTGAGCTGCATTGATTTTGAACTGATTTCCTCAAAACATTGCTCTCATCATGTTAAATCCATCTTCAGAATTCTTCAGTGGTTCCTCTTTGCCTACTTCAGTGCCTCACAATGTTTCCCCCATCACGGCAAGCACAGGACACTTTACTGAGTACTGGGATAGACCCACGAGCATGCTGCAGCAGGGAGGAGGTGGTTCAGGGGCTCCCTCTGTGCTTGGGCTCACTGGGCTACCCCAAGTGAAAAGAGATCAACGTACTCGAACTCTCTGGCATTCTGGAAAATTTGACGTTCAAGTCATTCCACCATCTGGCTGCCAAACCGACTATCAATCTCTTTCTTTTACTATGTCACAACATGACTCTTCTGTTTCAGCTATTTATCCATCCTGTGCAAAATAACCATTGTATCTTAAAGTCTCTGTAGCTTTTGCTTATGTCTTTTTATTTGAATGGAAAATGCCTCTCCTCATTCCCTGCACTCATCAAAACCCTGATCATCATTCAAGACCCCAACCAGACCTCACCTAAAGCCATTCTTGACCAGGTCAGAGAAAGCGATTCTTATTCTCAGGTCACTTTTGGGAATCCAGGAGGTCCTCATACAGGGTATGGGATTTGAGACAGGCCTTAAAGTTTGTGTAGGAATCAAAAGGTGGCTAAGAGGGAGATGAAAAAGGCCTTCCAGAGGGAGGGCCCTGATGAGCAGCACCTGATAACTACTGTGGTCCAGGAGGTACAAAATAACAGCCTTGCTTGGGAGGATTTTAAGTGGGTGGGTCGGCAATAGGACAAGAAATCTGTATTCTTAGAAAGAAATTCAAGTGATTCTTGATGTGTAGCTGCATTTGGGGGCCACTATTTGTAGTGGTCAAGGATTGCCGCGTTCCAGAAGCTTCCTCCTACTCTGTGCTGGCTGCAGTTCTGGTCCTCCTGGACCAAGAAACTCATGCTCAGAGGCAAGGCTGGGCATGAGATGCCAAGCAAGATTATTCAGTCTCTGGGTCTTTTTCATAGAGAAGCTCGGGGTGGGGGAGGAGAAAAGCTCAATATCCTCCACAAATACTCTGCTGAAATGATATAAACCTGGAGCTTCCCAAGTCCAACCCTTCTTGCTAAGGGTGAGGTAGTCTGTCTTCAGTAAGACAATAAATAGCAATAGTTAGAGACAGAGCAGAGCCCCCCAAACGTTTTTTGAACCTTAGGATTAGGCTGCACTTGATCCAATCCCACCCTGATTTGTTCTCAGTTGTTTGGGCCAATAAATTATCATTTTGTTGCTGTTGTTGAAGCCAGTTTGAGTTAGGCATTTATGACTTACAGCTGGACCTCTGAAAGACCTACCAAAGTCAGTGATGTAAGATAAAACATGACAAGTGCAGAACAGAACTAGAATGGTAGCTGGGATTCAAGAAAGACCATGAGGCTTGACTGGAGAATCTGGATTAATTCTGGAGGCCTTGCGGAATAAATGACATTTAGAACAGGGGAGAACCAGGTCAAAGGGCTGTGTTTTGAAAGAGAATTGGCCACAGAGCATATTGGTGGAAGGAATTAAAGAAGGCTATGGAGACATCCTGAAGGAGAACTATTTAAAGTGTGAAGCACAGACAGAGGACGCAGGAGGTTACTAGACAGGAAAACAGGGCTGGGAGCAGCGTGGGGAAGACAGTAAGTACCTCAGAGTACAGAACTTCTCCTAGAGAAGTGTCCAAACACACCTATGCAAACTGTGGTGTGTTTTAAATACTTGTTAAATAATAACTCCATGCATTGAGTTTTTGATAGTATAATTTTGTTTTTATAGTACGCTATTATGATATATATTATTATTAATATACTATTATATAGTATTATATAGCATAATAATGCCATTCATAAGATAGTTAAAGGATTTTAAAAAATATGAATTAATAGCAGAGAGTGGTGTCATCCAGTAATGGGACACAGGCCAATGTTGTCGGAGAGATATTTGCTTCTTTCATTCCAGTCGGTATGTCTCTGTTCTCCACAGAGCATGTCATGTGTACTTAACATCCACTTCCGCACCTGAGGTGAGTATGAAATGCAGGTCCAATGGCTCTGCCGATGTCCTCTTACCCCACAAGCCCTAAGAAGAGTGCATTTCCAGAATTTAGTCCTTAGTGCCTCTCCTATCTTGTTATCAGTACACTGCTTTCTCCTTCTTGTCAGTAATCCATAAATGAGTGCTCCTGCCTTCCTTCATGCCTTCCTCATATTTCCTTGGCTCTTATGTTGCGCCTTAACCTCCAGCTTCTCCTCGCTCCAGGTCAGCCTCCACATTGCCGGCAAAGATCTCTCTCTTTAATACAGATTTGAGTATGTCACAACCTCGCCTCAAAATCATAGTAGATTCCCCTATCCCATAGGATAACATTCAAGTTCTTTAGCCTGACATAGTTTCCCACAAGTGGGTCCCCAACCCACGTCTCCACTCTTATTTCTGGTTAGTCCTCCAACGCTCCACTCCTCTTGCTTTTCCACAATGGCACCATCTTCCTTCATTTCTCTCTGTTTTTGTTCCTGCTCTTGCCTCTTCCTGAAAAACCCTTCCCCTCTAGCTCAGTCTTACCCCTCCCTCTGTGAAAACTTCCTCAATGCTCCCAAGGAGAGTGGTTGTCTGAGCCTCTAGCCTACCACCCAGGTCTTCAGTACAGTGAATGCTGGACAAGGACATCACTGAAGACAGAGACTGTGATGTGTTTAACTCTGTTTATCTTTGTATACCCCATCCCTGTACCGCACACAGCAAGAGCTCAATAAATACGGGCTGGATGGCTGCGTTCATTGTCAATAATACCCCATGCTTTCAGAAGCAAACGCAAGTTCAGTCAGAAACTATCTCTTGCACACAGTTTTCTCCATAGGATTCAGCATGATTGCTCACAGTTTTCTGGGCTATTCTTATAAGTAGCAAGGATGGTTGCAAACTGGTTCTCACTTCCCGGGCCTCCATATAAATATGCTTCTTCCAAAGCAAGTTCTTTTTCTCACTCAGTTGCCTCCTTGATTCAGCTGAGCCTGTTGAAGAACCCCTATAGGACTCCATTTCCTTGACTTAGGCTACAATTTGAGCCCAGCACATGGAACTGTCACCATCATTCTTTGCTGAGATGGTAGATGGCTGCTAATCTGCATGTCGCCATTCTTCGTGTAAGAAATAATGCATTATTAACACAGCTTTATTATCAGACCCGAGTTTGTCAGAGCAACATTAGAGGATAATTGGAAGAAAAGCTGATTTGTTAGCAAAATGTTGCTTTTTGGCTAATGAATCATTCTGATTTTTTGCACTGACAGCTCAGTAACAAGCTTGAAGACTACTTTGTTTCAGACCATTAAACTTTGACAAACCAGTTATTAACTACAGCTAGAGCCAGTGGTCTGTGGGGATTGTTGCAATTATGCGCCATATATGTAATTTTAAAAAATCATTAGTTGAGACAAGGTGAGTCTGATGATGGAGGGGCTGGTGACTGATGGTCCCTGTTGCTTCATCTTACACAGGCAATAAACAGCTGCCGGGAGGACAATGGGTCAGCAATAGCTCTTTTTTGGGGGGAAGAAGTAGTAAGAGCAATCCAGATTGAACCCCAACAAGGAGCCCTGTTTGGGAAGGAAGAGACAGAAGTTTCTTCTGACTTCTATTTTGGAGGCTGGAGGTCTTTTCTCTAAGGGAAACTAGAAGGAGGTAGAGAAGGCAAACCAAATAGAAAGAAAGGCAAGGCAGGACTGCCATGGCTTGGGTTCTCTTCCTATGCTTTTTTTTTTAATTTTTAAATTTTTAATTTTTTTATTATGTTATGTTCGTCACCATACAGTACTTCATTAGTTTTTGATGTAGTGTTCCATGATTCATTGTCTTCCTATACTTTATTGGGTTGTCATTATAGTCAATGACCCCAGCCCTTTCCTTTACGGCTCCCCACTATTCATAATAGGGATCTTGAACTCAGATGGATAATACAATTTAGTAGAGCAGAAGGCAGTGGTGAAAACGATGGCAAAATCACAAGTCAAATGCAGACACAGTTGTGTGCCAGACCGCAACCCCTAGGTTACAGACAGAAGTCCAGGTCCTCAGCCTTAAGTGCAAGATTCTTCAAATCCAGCCCACACCTCTCCAGCCTCATCTTTTCATATTCTTTTTGAACTCTTATGTCCCCGTCTAACTGTGATGTTCTCTAGATGTGTCCCACACTTTCTAGTCTCTGCCCCTTTGCTCTTTGAGGAATGGCTGCTCCCCTGAAATCCATTTCTATGTGTTCACATCCTACACACTCTCTGGGTGTCAGTTTCTTGTCAAATTGGGAAGAAGAGGTAGACTGAATCCATGTTAAGACCTTTTCTTATAAAGTTTTGTGAGTCTGTGGCACCTTTCACCAACTGTGGTTAGTACTCATGTGAAACTAGTTGCATCCTGGGGCCCTAATCCCACGTAATGTTCTGCATCCCCTAGGTGGGCACATTGCTGGGAGTCTTGCTGTCATCACAGACGCTGCCCATCTCTTAATTGACCTGATCAGTTTCCTGCTCAGTCTCTTCTCCTTGTGGTTGTCATCGAAGCCCCCTTCGAAGCAGCTGACATTTGGATGGCACCGGGCAGGTACAGTTCACCCACTGAGCATTAATGGCAAAGTAGCTCTGCAGTCAGACCAAGGATAAAAACAGAAGAAACAAAGCAAAGCCTTGTTTGAAAATCCTTTAGAGGCACATCGGTGCATAGAATATAAAGGATGTATGCATGGGAACACGTGTTCTCAATGTTGATTTGGCAAAAAGCCAGATTAATTGCGCTACCTCTACTGCAATAGGACAACAAGAACATCTGTATCGCTTTAGCAACCGCCCCAGCCCAAGGGTCTCAGTGTACAGTAATAGCCATGAGACCATTCATTAAGCTACTCTGCATCTGGGAGGGAGGATGGGATAAAGCTTCTACCATTTTGCAAACTAAGGTGCAGAGAGCCCAGGACAGCTGGAGAGATTAAAGAATTTCTCACAGGTAAGTCGAGAATGGAATGGGAAGGAGAATTTAGGGAGGAGCAAGGGTGGCCCGCACGCTGACACGGTCAGCCTTCATTGAAAGCTGCCTCTAGATACAGACCACAACTTATATACTGACAATTTGGGCTGTGGTTTTTCAAGCTTAGACTGGTAGGAAGTTCTAATTTCACACCAAACAATGTATCATCACAAGTGTTTTGAATTGTCTTTCCTTTAACATTCAGAGAGAAGGAGAGGAAGAGTGAGAGGTGAGGCAATAAACATCAATAAAAAGAATTTGTGACAATGTGATCTGAAGATGCCTTTCAGTCCCTGAACAGTGCTACGCCTGAAAACATGTATCTTTGGCTGAGCACTTGTCATTTTTCTGTATATATTTTTACATGTACTTTCCCCTTTCTGATACTATATATCAAAGCAGTTTTGTAAACACAGAGAGAACTTAGAATACTGCTTGTATTTTCTCATCCTGGTGATGGAAGCCCATGAGCACTGATGCTCTAGAAGACCAGTGCTGTTCACTAGAACTCTCTGCTTCAAGAGAAATGTTCCATAATATAGAGTATAATGTGGCCATAGAGCACTTTATTTTCTTTTTAATTTTAATTTTTTTATTTATTAATTTTTTTAAGTAGGCTCCAAGCTGGGCTCCAGCATGGAGCCCAGCGTGGGGCTTGAACTCATGACCCTGAGATCAGAACCTGAGCTGAGATCAAGAGTCAGAAGCTCAACTGACTGAACCACGCAGGTGCCCCAATAGAGCACTTTAAATGTGGCTACTGCTACTGAAGAACTGGATTTTTAATTTTACTTAATTTAAATGGAAACAGTCACATGTGATTATGGTTACCATATGAGGCAGCCCTGTTAGAGACATAGAGGTGAAAATGAACTAGCTTGTCACACATGTAATTTCATGGATGGGTTTGTTTAGGAAGAAGCTAAGTTATACAAAATAAATTTATTAAAAAAATATTAAGTGGCTAATGAGGTAGGTGGCATGCAGATGTGGTTACAATCATGAAGGCTGTGTGTAAATGACCAAAGTCTGGGAAACAATAGCCCCACACTAGGAAAACCATATGTTACATTGTTCTGCTTTAAAAGAGGGAAGGCCAAAAGTACCGAATGTGCCTGGCCACTGAGTCCCAGATTTCTAGACCCTCCTAGGCTTTTAGTACCTACCTACAAGGTTAAATTAAAGATCAGCGTGAGGTGTTAAGGAACTCCTAAGTGAGCAAAGGTGCTTTACTCGGCCTGCAGACTGAACACTATCTTATCTTTAAATATTAATGTAAATGTCTCCACTCATACTTATTTTCCATATAGTTGCTCTTAAAATGCTGTCAGAGTGTTGATATAACTCTGAGCTTGCCTCTGTGTTTATAATACATTGGGCTGGCAAGTGAAACTCATCTTCATCAAGTACCCTCTGAAGCCTTCCCTTGTTACTATTTTATTCCACACAAGGTACCAGTACTGGCAAATTGTAAATGTTTAATGACGAAATTAAGAATTTCTAAACACATTTTACTCTTTATGTCTCATTATTTCATCTCTTAATAAGTTTCAATCATTTTAGCACCTGTTTAAATTAAAATCCCTGAGGAAAACAGCAATGGCAGAGAGCAATTAATATGCTTTAAAAATTTGCTAGAAATTACTTAGTAATACGGAGCATAATGAACTCAGATGCTGGTGTTTTATGAATGCAACATTAAAGTGTCTCATCTTAGTGCTAAAACCCATCCACACTTTTGCCTTGTGAATCACTGAGTGAACTAGTTTAAAGCCTCTTTGAGGGGAGGGGGGTACATCAAGGAACATTAATGTCTCATGACTCTCGGGAGGTTAAGGTGATTCACAAATTCTTTGTGTATGGGTGTCTCTGTGCTTGAATCCCTAGAGATCCTTGGTGCCCTGCTGTCCATCTTGTGCGTCTGGGTGGTGACTGGGGTGTTGGTGTACCTGGCATGTGAACGCCTGCTCTACCCTGATTACCAGATCCAGGCGACTGTGATGATCATTGTTTCAGGCTGTGCTGTGGCAGCCAACATTATGTAAGTCACCCCACATACTGCCGGTAAAGCTTGTCTTTAACCGTGTGTGGATGCAGCTTGTGGGGTTTTTGTTGATGCTGTTTGTTTTTGTTTAATTTCTCTACTTGTGAAGATGGTAAAGTGAATAAATTGCCAATGAGGTAGTGCAGAGCCAGGATCCGAATCTAGATCCACTAGGCCCAGAATCGAGCTCCTAGCCAGTCTGCTCTCTCGTGCATACTGATGGTTCCATATGGGATATGACTTATTCCTACTTTGTTTTTGTTACATGAACACATTATGGGTTCCCGGAAGGCTGGGTTGGAAAGGATCTTAAATTTTATTTACTTCAGTTCCCTTCCTACTTTTGAATTCTCTTTTGCAACATCCCTATAAAATAGTCATTAGTGTCATATATTTTAACAGAACTAGTAACAGGGAATTTATTTCTCTCCAAAGCAGCCTATTTTATCTTTGTATCATTGTGACTGCATGAAAATTCCTTCTTAAGCTGCATTAGCTAAACTCTCTCCTAAACTCTCTCTTTAGTATTCCACCTGTTGGTCCATTCTCTTGTCCAGGCAGTCTTAATTCATTCTTATGAGACATGTGATGTCTTACTGGACACGTGATCATTGCCATATTGCTCTTCTCTTACCCAAATGAGCTGATTGTTTGTGACAAGGGGGTTTTGAGGCCAGGCCTTTGATCTTTTTGGTTGTTTGGCTCCTTCCCATTTGATAGCTTGATTCCGGGCAACCCCACTTAAAACTGTATTATCTATCTACCTACCTACCTACCTATTAATCATCTATGGTAGACAGAATAATGGTCCCTCAAAGAATTCCACATTCTAATCCTTGGAACTTCTAAGTATGTTAACTTACCTATATAGCAAAAGGAACTTTGCAAATGTGATTAAGTTAAGGGTGGGATTTTGAGATGGGGAGATTATCCTGGGTTATCCAGACAGGCCCAGTGTAACCAGAAAGATTCTTGTAAGAGGGACACTTGAGGTCAGAGTGAAGGGAAGATGCTGTATTGCTGGCTTTGAAGATAGAGAAAGGATCCTGGCGCCAAGGAATGTACGTGACCTCCCGAAGCTGGAAGAGGTAAGACAATGAATTCTCTCCTAGAGTCTCCACAAGGAATGCAGTACTGCACACCCATTTTAGACTTCTGACCTCCAGAACTATAAGATAATAAATTTATGTTGTTCTAAACCACAAAAGCTTTGTGGTAACTTGTTATAGCAGCAAAAAAAAAAAAAAAAAGACTCAGACATACTATGTATCGTCTATCTTGCAATGCGACATGATACATGCTATGAGGTGAGCTTATACATGAAAGTGAAGAAGATAGTGATAGAAGAATCGAATTTAATTAATTAATTAATTAATTAATTTTTATTTATTTATTTTTTAAGATTTCATTTATTTG